GACGTTCCTGAGAAGCAGAGGGAATAGAAGTACGTACGGTAGACCAACTACATTTCTATAAAACTAACGTTATTTTTATTGTTCCAACAGGTGGAAGAATCATCTCCACAAGTGTCTTCTAAGCTTCAGAATTTGAGACTAAATAGTTTAACCCCCAGGCAACTTTTCAAATCCGCAAATAATCAAGAAACTTAGTTTTAGTTCAGATTGCTCAAAATAATTGTCTGTTTTTTCCATTCAATACAAAATGAAATCATGGCTTCAAAGGATTCAGACAAAAGAGGACGGTTTGTTAACAAGTTCTATTTTAAGGTATTTGTATTAGCAGCGGTTTTAAATTTATTCATCAAAGAAAATCTTAATGATATTGACATCTGTCATCAGGAGAACTGGTAGCACTGGTCATATTTGAGGGGAAAATATGTTATATATGTTTTTTTAAAAACTCTGAACTTTCCTATTCAGTTGCCACCCCATGGACTATATATCTTGCTAGGCTCTTCTGCCCATGGAATTTTAAAAGTGTTTTAAAATTGTTTTATTTTTAGAATAATGCCTTATTAACTTCCATCATCATTGTGGGTGATCTTTGCTAATGGGTTGAAGCAATGGTAAAGATAAACCAATTCCATCTCTTAAATTATTAACACATATTCTAGGGTATTTTGTGTACTGTAAACTGGTCACCTCTCAAGGTTGCCACTTGCTCCATCACTGCTGCCTGGGTCTCCTAGGTACATTTTCCTGGAAAATTCCTTCTGAGCAGGGACTTCATTGGTTTTTGTTTAATTTAAGATATAATGTGTATCATGTTGGTTTAATACTTCTATATTGCAATATTACCACTGTAGCATTAACGTGTCTATCATGTCACACAATTTTCATTTCTTATTGTTTTAAAAATTTTCCACTTTGAAAATATTTTTTCTCTCAGAGTGATTCAATTTTTTTTTTTGAGCGTTTTCTATATTTCCCTTCTCCAATGGAATTATACAATATATGGTCCCTTGTTACTGACTTCTTTGACTTAGAATAATGTTTTCGGACTTCATCCACATTGTAACTATATCCTTTGTGTACTGAAGGAAAAACTGGTGGTGTGTATTAATGTCGTATTTCCAGGTGAGACCATGCTGGTCTGAGCTGATATTGTGAGATCAGGAACCTTGGCTGAATTTTTGCAAGTGGCTCCAGTATAGCTGCTAATAGGCCTTCTTGCTTTTAGTAGTGCAGTGAGGCAAATCCCTTCATTGCTTTTTATTACCAAATATTCCATTGCTTGGATATGGCACATTGAATTTATCCATTCATTAGTGGATGGATATTTGGGTTGTTTCCTCTATTTGGCTATCATAAATAATGCTGTGTACAAGTTTTTGTACAGGTATGTATGTTCATTTCTTTTAAGTATATACCTTGGTGTGGAATCGCTGGGTCACATGGTAACTCTGTTTAGCTTTTTGAGGAACTGCTAGACTTTTTCAAAGCAGCTGTACCATTGTCTGTTGACACCAGCAGGGTGTGAGGGTTCCAGTTTCTTCATTCTGTCCAACATTCATTATTACCTGACTTTTTAATTGGAGCCATCCTAGTAGATATGGAGTGACATATCATTATGGTTTTGATTTGCATTTCCCTTATGACTAATGATGTTGATCATCTTTTCATGTGCTTACCGGCCACGTGTATGTCTTTCTCAGGGATGTGTCTGTTCAGATCCTTTGTCCACTTACAGTTTTGGGTTATTTTTCTTTTTATTATCTAGTATGAGTTCTTTATATATTCTGTATACCAGTATCTTATTAGAAATGTTATTTGCAAAATTTCCCCCATTTTGTAGATCTTATTTTCACTTTATGGTATCCATTGAAACAGTTTTAACTGTGATAATGTCTAATGTATGTATTTTTGTTGTTATTATTATTTGTGCTTTTGGTGCTATACCTGAGAAACCATTGCTTATCCATTATGAAGACTTCTGTTTTTTCATCTAAGAGTTAAATAGTTCTAGGTCTTACATTTTAACTCTGATTCATTTTGAGTTAATTTTTTTTGTATGGTAGAGTAAGAGCCCACCATAAAAAAAAATGTGTCTCTTGTAAGTCTTTTTTTAGTCTGTTTTGTCTGATACAAGTATTGCTACTCTGTTTCTTCGTTTTTCCATTTGCATGGCATGTCTTTTTCCAGCCTCTCACTTCCAGTCTGTATGTGACTTTTGATCTAAAGTGAGTCTCCTGTAGGCAGCATATATACAGGTCTTGTTTTTGTAACCATTTGGGCAGTCTGTGTCTTCTGATGGAGCATTTAGTCCCCTTACACTTAAGAAAAGTATTGATGTGTATGTTTTGTTCCTCTTCTGTTGTTTCAGATTTGTTTTAGTAGGTCTCTTTTTTCTCCTTGTTTTCTTATGACTTGATGATTATTTTTAGTGTTATTTTGGACTCCTTTTTCTTTTTGTGTGTGTATATCTAGTATCGATTTTTGGTTTGTGGTTACCATAAGCTTTTCATATAGCAGTCTGTATATAAATGTGATTGTTTTAGGTGGCTGATCTCTTCATTTCAAATGCATTTTAAATATTCCTTGCATTTGTACTCTCCTCCCCTCATGATTACTGTTTTTGATACCATATTTTACATCTAATTGTTTTTTGTGTCCTTTAACTGCTTATTATAGATACAGGTGATATTACTGTTTTTATCTTTTAATATCTCTACTAGTTTTGTGTGTGGATAATTACCTACCTTTACTTTATATTTGCCTTTACTGATAGACTGTTTCCTTCCATAATTTTCTTGTTTAGATTGTTTCCTTCCATAATTTTCTTGTTTCTCGTTGTGGCCTTTTCTGCCTAGAGAAGTTCCATTAACATTTGTAGTGAAGCTAGTTTTGTTGAGGCTGAATTTTTTTAGCTTTTGCTTGTCTGTGAAGTTTTTGATTTTTCCATCAAATCTCAATGAAAACCTTGCTGGGTAGGGTGCTCTTGGTTGTAGATTCTTCCCTTTTATCAATTTACATATATTGTACCACTCCCTTCCAGTCTGCAGTTTCTGCTGAAAAAATCAGCTTACAGGCTTATGGGAATTCCCCTGTATATTATTTGTTGCTTTCCCCTTCCTGCTTTTAGTATTCACTCTATAATTTTTGGCATTTTTGATTACAGTGTGTCTTGGCGGATTTGGTTCTCTTTGGGTTAATCCTGTGTGAAGCTTTGTGTTTCCTGGATATGGGTTGACTATTTCCTTCCCCAGGTTAGGAAGGTTTTCAGCTTTTATCTCTTCAAATATTTTCTTAGGTCCTTTCTCTCTTCTTCTTCTGGCACCCCTGTAATGCAAATATTAACGTGTTTAATGTTGTCCCAGAGGTGTCTTAAACGGTCCTTGTTTTTTTTCTTTTTTCTGGACAACGTCAGTGACCACTACTGTCTTCCAGCTCACTGATACACTCTTCTATACCATTTAGCCCATCATTGATTCTTTGTAGTGTGTGTGATCCTGGTGTGTGTGAGATTTTGCGTGTGCTCTTTGAGAGTGACATCTCTATTTCCCAGTCCTGGGAAGCGTCTGCAGTTCCAGCCTTGTTGTTGAGCCGCTAAGTCGTGTCTGACTTTTGCGATTCCATGGACTGTAGCCTGCCAGGCTCTTCTGTTCATGGGATTTCCAAGGCAAGAATACTGGAGTGGGTTGCCATTTCCTTCCCCAGGGGATCTTTCTGACCCAGGGATTGAAACCGTGTCTCTTGAATAGGCAGGCGGATTCTTTACCGCTGCCACCAGGGAAGCCCTCAGTGCTGGCCTTCAAAGCCAAATGCTCTGGGGACTTGTCTTTCCAGTGCTGGAGCCCTGGGCTGGGGAGCCTTATGTGGGGGATCAGAACTCTCATTCTTGTGGGAGAACCTCTGCGTTATAATTATTCTCCAGTTCATGGGTCACCCACCAGGGGGATGTGTGATTTGATTAGATTGCAGATCCTCTCCTCCTGTCTTGTTGTTATGGTTCCTTCTGATCTTTTCTGGTAGGTTCTAGTCTTTTTCATCAATGGTTATTCTGCAGATAGTTGGAACTTTGGTGCTTGTGAGAGAAGGTGAGTGCAGGGTCTTTTACTCTGCCATCTTCCACACCTACTCTGGTACTTTCATTAAATTTATTCCTATTTTATTTTTGATCCTATGAGACTATAATTATTTTCTTATTTTTGTTCATTAATACTATATAGAAATTCAGTTGATTTTTATATAGATCTTGTATCTTGCAACCTTGCTAAAACTCATTTATTTGAATAGGTTTTTTTAGCAGATTCCTTCAGATTTTGGTATATATAAGATTCTATCATCTGCAAGTAGAGTTTGTTTTACTTCCTTTCCAATTTAGTTGCCTTTTGTTTCATTTCCTGGTTATGCTGCCCTGGCTAGAACCTCTGGTACCCTGTTAAGAAGAAGTGGCAAGAAAGGACATCCTGACTTGTCCCTGTGAATTTACAAAGCCTGCTAGGCAATTTGCAAAAATGAAAATGTTAAGACTATAAGGTATAGTTTTCTTTTTTTAAATATGTAAATTTTAATCATGCTAATAGTTTTTGAAAATATATTTTATGGACTACATACAGTGTTCTCAGGGGGTAGATATGATCCTTAAGTTAGACTCAAGATCAAGCTTTTTCACCTAATATAAATGTTATCATTAGTCTTAGAGGTGTTCCTGTTTGCCAGCTCTTTCAGCATTTTTACATATGTGTCACACCTCTCTTCATGAAAGTATTGGAATGACCTTCAGTGTCACAGGTGGGAAGACTGACTCAAGAAAGTACATTTCATACCCTCAGTGAGTATCAGCTGGAATTCAAACCCAGATCAAATATCAAAACCATAGCTCTTCTCTTCCATGCTGCTTTTCAAGTTTATGGCAAAATCTTCCTCCTTTAGAAAATTATGCAACCATTAGTATTGTGTAGGGCTCAGTATAGAAAACTAAAATATATCCAAAGCACCAAAAAAAAAGGTCATTTTTTTTTTTTTTTTGGCTTTTTAAAATCACTGTTTATTCCATTTGGTAGAGGGTTTTTTATTCCCATACAAATATTTGCAACAATTTTGAATTCCCCAAAACCATACATAGACGATAAATACCATGCTATTAAAGTATTAAATTTGTACAAAAATACTTTACAGTTTAATACTTGTTTGTTACAAATAAAAATACATATTTAAGTGACTCATGATCTTTTTCTTAACATGATTCTGCTTTATACTTTCTTGCCCTGGCGGTTCTGAAATATGATTGAAATAATATATTTCTTTGCACAGAAACGAAAGGTGAACTTTTTCCTTAAACAAAGGACACAGTGTTCAGATGCTTTACCTAAGCAGTTTTAATTATTGACCAAAATAAAAATGTTTGGAAAATAATTTTTCAGTATGGAGATTCTACAATCAATATACAGATCTATTTTTTTTTTAATATTCACCAAATAACAGTTATTAGTGTAACTATTCAAAATATCTGAACAAATGAAAACAGTTGCTGACAGACATTAAAAGCAACTGTTACAGTTTATTGCTTTGGGGGATGGTAATAATTGGCAATGCATTTTGTGAAAATGTATTTACAATTTCAGTCAGTGGCATGGCTCAGAACAAAAGACAGTCCAGAGTCATTTATGCACATGTGCTGTACACCCCTCAGTATAACCAGTTTTCAAAACATGTCAAGCAGTATGAGTTTGATTTTGCCTATTCTTAAGATAAACCTCATTTTAATAGACTCTTCATTCTCCCTTAAATTCTTAGTCTTGAATTTTAAAAATAAGATAATTTAACTAATTCTCAGTGTTACTAAACACCCTAATTCATTACCAGAGAGTTTTCAGCTATTAAAAAAATGTGTCCTTAAAAAAAAAACAAAACAAAAGAACAGGTCACAAGACATATCCTGTTTGATAATTTGTTGCATAGGGAATAGCATACATCTTAGTTAAAATCATTCCTATACTTGGGCAAAACATTTACCACCACCTATTATGGTCTCCTACGTGCACCGTTGCTGAAACGTTGTAAGATAATCTTATACCTGTACCCCTCCCATAGCAGAAGTCCCAGCAGTTCACCAGACTAGTTCTAGCAGAGCCAGCTTTATGAAAAGCCTTGTCAGTTAAATTCTTACATGAATAACTTCGTAGTAAGAAACTGATTTCAAAGTGAATTAAGTAAATTATTTTCAAACAGACATTTCTCTTTTTAAAAAGGAACAGGAAGATGGACTTGTGGAAAAATGTCCTCTGATGTTAACTGTAGAGAGGGGTGGCCTGTTTTTCTTTTTCTCTACCATTGGGTTTGGCAGGGGATTGCCTGTCATATACCATAGTGATCACCAACAAAGAAACCTCTTCAACTTGAAAAGGGAAGTGAACATGAGCCATGAGAGATTTAAAAGACCCCTGTGCTTGCAGTTAATGCCACGTGATTATCTGTGCTTCAGATGTCACAGAAATCTTAAAGGGATTGTTTTTTGTTTTTTTGTTTTTAGCACCATGTAGATATTGTCTTTTGTCCCGCTTTATAAAAAGCGTTGCTATAGTGTATTAGTGGGTTCTCGTATCTCCAAATTACCACCGTGGCTCGGCTGTTGGAAAAAAGCACTGTTCTGTTCACTCCATTCTCCTCCTGGTAGAGTGTGTTCTAAGGACTTCTGTGAAGCCAGGGGGTTTCTACTAATAACCAGGTCCAGCTTATTACCAGATTCTGCTATGAGGGGTACAACAAGGCAGCAGTCAAAGTCTCTTGTTCGGACGTGATTAACCTGAAATGGCAAGAAGCGCTGTGGTGAATTACTGTTATAATTACCAAAACCCAGAGTAACATTTCCGATATAATAAGCACTCTGTACAGAGTCTATCCCAGCCCTGAGCACACTATAAGATGGGTATATGCTTACTTATTCTCTGCTACTAAATTGTGAGGCCCTTGATAGCAGGGAACAGGGACACATCTAACATCCCCAAGCTGAGCAAATAGCCTTACTCAGGGCAGGTGCTCCAAAGTGCTGACTGTCATCCCCGATATACAGATGAGGAAAGTGAGGCACATAATGGTTAAGAGAAGTGCCTAAGACCAGCAGTTGGTAACTGATCCAGAGAGGATGTTGGTGAGTGGTCTAGCAAAGATGTGATCTCAGGCAGTCTGGCTGATTCGGAAGTTTGTGCTGTGTTTTTTTTCTTTCTTTTTTAAAATTTTTGGCCAGACCCTGCAGCATGTGGGATCTTAGCTCCCAGACCAGGCATTGAACCCATGCTCCCTGCATTGGAAGGCAGAGTCTTAACCAGTGGACTGCTGGGGAAGTCCCCCAAAACTCGTGCTCTTGATGATACTGAACTGCTGCTCTCAGTAGTTGTCGTGATCCCACCCCCTTCTGAGCTTGTACATGTGCTCATTTTCTTTTATGTTTCCTTATTGTTCCCACCCCCCACCCCAAGTTTAAAAAATCATCTCCACGCTGCTTCCATTCCTTTTCATTCTTTCTCCCATCTTCTCAGTTTGGGACCTAACCATTATATTGTATTGTTGTTTAGTTGCTAACTCATGTCCGACTCTCTTGTGACCCCGTGGACTGTAGCCTGCCAGGCTCCTCTGTCCATGGGATTTCCCAGGTAAGAATACTGGGGTGGCTTGCCATTTCCTTCTCCAGGGGATCTTCCCGACCCAGGGATTGAACCTGTGTCTCCTGCATTGGCAGGCAGATTCTTTACTGCTGAGCAACCAGGGAAGCCTTATATTGTATAAATGACCCCAGTTGTTCAACATAGGAATGGTGTTTTGAGTTCTCATCCCCTTTAGCCACTCTTGACACCTACTCATCCTTAAAACTCCTTCCTGGGCTCTGATGACACCACCTTGCTCTGACCTTCATACCATTTTAACCACTCACTTTCAGTCCTTCCCTGCCTTTACTTCATCCTATCCTTTAAATTTTGTTTTCCTTAGAATTCTATCTTTAGTTCTCTTCTTACGAGAAATCCAACCTAGGCAACTTTATCAAAATCCATGTGTTCAGTATCCCCAATCTTTAGTTTTGGCTCTAACATCTCTCTTAAGCAGCAAATGCAAATGCAAACTGTAAGCTGCCTTTCAGACCGCTCCACCAGGATGCACAGAAGGCATTAAAGGCCCAGGTCTGGTACAAGTGTCTGACCCTTCCCTCCTAGTCTCCTTTCCTGTGATCCTCCCCTTCTTCACCCTATAGCAGTTCACCTATGACATGATTGTATTGCCTTTCTGAATTATGAAATATGTCATTCTGCTTAAGAAATTAATTAAGAGCTTGGCATTCAGTGTCCTTCACAATTCTGAGTCCAGTCTGCTTATATAGCCTCATCTTCCACAAAAGTAGGTATATCTCTAATTTACAGAGATCAAATCATTTGTCCATTGTTATTTACTCAACAAATACTGGAGTATCTATGGAAAACCAAAGTGTTCCATAGTCTTAGGACAAGTCTAATTGTTATATTGCCATGGTAAAAAGATCATCAGAATTGGTTTTAAAACTGTCTAATGAGTCAGTGTAAACTTGCTTTGGTGAACATGTGTCTAAAAGCCAACCATCAGAGCAGCCTCATGCTTTTTGAAAGTCAGATATTTAGGGACAAACTCATTCTATTTGAATACATGTTCAAGACTGGTGGCAACCCTTCTCCTGTTCCTGCAAAATGCTGTTCCTGAAAACTGGACATAGGGATCCAGGAATTTGCTTTCCTCAGTTAAACCAAATCTGATCATGATATTACTCCATTATGTAAATAAGGTTCAGCTTTTGGATTTTAGATACTGTGTGAGATGAGATATCAAACACTGCAAAATGGGAAATGGGAGAATGAGGTACTAGCATGGCAGTCCACCCCAGTTGTCTTGCCTGGAGGACCCCATGGACAGAGGAGCCTGGTGGGCTGCAGTCTGCAGGCTTGCAGAGACTGGCATGACTGACATGAAGCAGCAGCATGCACACATGCCTGCTCTCAAGAGGTCTAGAATCTGCTGGGGAGTGTACTCAGGGAAACACGCTGTTTCAGTAACTGGTAAATTCTACTAAGGGAAAAAGTGTCTATCCTCTCAAGGAGGGCCTCTGATCTGGTCTTGAGGCAAAGGAGGATGTGTGAGCACTGGTCAAATGAGACTTTAAAGAGTTAGATAAAATTTCATCTGAGGTCTTACCTGTAAGAGCCTGTCGTAGGGCTTTAGGCCACCAAGATCTCCTGGCCCAGCTGGGCGAATGTTTTTGACATAGACTCCTTTCTCCAGCAAGCCATCTGCTACACTGAATCCGAAGTCCTCCATGTCAGAGCCCTTGTACAGGGTCACCTGGAAGGTGAGAAAATGTGAGGGGGGGAGTGGTATTTAGGTAGGTTGAGGGCTTTTGCCTGTGAAACTTCTTGACGAACCATCTTTTCAAACTAATTTCAGTAACATAATAGATTTGTAATAGATTAGGCAGCTCCCCCCAGTGTTGGCGCTAGTGGTAAAGAATCCACCTGCCAATGCGGGAGACTTGGGTTCAATCCCTGGGTCAGGAAGGTTCCTGGAAGAGGAAATGGCAACCCACTCGATTGCCTGGAAAACCGCATGGACAGAGGAGCCTGGCGGGCTACAGTCCACGGGGTCCCAAAGCAGCAGACATGACTGAGCATAGCACACACACACACCCAATCGTGAAGATTTTTCTATTCTTCAAGAACATCCAAGGAATTTCCAAAGTCCACTCAGAACTGGGAAAGGAGGAGACATGCTGGAGAGGTTTGTTTTTTTTTTTTTTTAAACTTGCAATCATTAGGTGTATACAGGTGAGAATTTCCCAGAGGCATGTTCATGTCTCTGTTCTGGAGCAACCCCAGGTGTTGGGAGAAGCCAGAGTTAGCCCTTTGCAGCTGGATATTAGGACTAAGCCAAAGACCTTTCCTTCCTGCTCACCACGCCTGGCGCTGTGCTGGGTACAGTTCTCAGCATATTCTCTGCCTCTAAGCAAGAGCCAGGAAGCCCATCACTGTATTTTCTCTGGCATTCTAATCAGTGCTTCAGTACTGTGGGCAAAAAAATTGTGAAAGGAGGAGAGGCCAAGATGGCAGAGTAGAAAGACCCTGAGCTCACCTCCTCTCATGAGCACACCAAAATCACACCTATTTGGGGACCAACCATCGACGAAAAAGACTAGAACCTACCAGAAAATATCTACAACTAAAGGCAAAGAAGGAACCACAATGAGATGAGTGGGAGCATAGGGTGGACAGGTGATATAATCAAATCCCATCCCCCCCTGGGTGGGCAACCACAAACTGGTGAATAATTATACTGCAGAGGTTCTCCTAAAGGAGTGAACGTTCTGAGCCTCACAGTCCAGCCCAAGGTTCAGGCATCAGAAGGATAAGCCCCCACAGCATTTGGCTTTGAAATCCAGTGGGGCTTAATTAACTGCAGGAGCCCCACAGGATTGGGGGGAACATAGACTTCACACTCATGCACACAAAAATCTCATATACACCAAGGGTGCACACAAAATCTCATGCATGCCAAGACCCAGGACAAAAGCATCCATTTGACAGAAGGCTAAGCCAGACCTGCCTGCTGGTCTTGGAAAGTCTCCTGGAGAGGCAGGAGCTTGGCTCACCCTGGGTACATAGACGTGGATGGCAGACATACTGGGGAACATTCAGCCACATGAACACTCCTGCGGCTGCCGTACTGGATCATTAGCACCAAGACCTGGCCTCACCCACAGACTATAGGCTCCAGTGTTGGGACAAGTGCATGCTTGGTCACTCAAGTCATGTCCGACTCTGCAACCTGATGGACTGTAGCTGCCAGGTACCTCTGTCCATGGATTTTTCAGGCAAGAACACTGGAGTGGGTTGCCATTTCCTCCTCCAGATTGTCCTGATCCAGGGATCGAACCCACGTCTTCTGTGTCTTGCATTGGCAGGTGGATTCTTGTATCGCTAGTGCCACCTGGGAAGTCCCCAGACTGGGATGCTTCAGGGCAAACAATGACCTGGGCAGGGACACAGCCCTGCCCATTAGCAGGCAGGCTGCCTAACTTCTTAAGCCCCACAGTCATCTCTGGACTCACCCCAAGACAGGGCCCTTCCCACTGGAGAGCCAAGACCCAGGTCCACTCACCAGTGGGCAGGCCTAAGACTCTCTCTTCAGGAAGCCTGCATAAGCCTTCAGATCAGCCTCACCCACCAGGGGACAGACACTGGAAGCCCGAAAACTGTGATCCCACAATGCAAGCTGGACCCTACCCTGGTGCCAGCTGAGCCCTGGCCCTGCCCACTAGCAGGCCAATGCACCCTTCTGGATACCACAAACTTCATACCCAACTGTACTGGGAAACTCCCTACCCTCCCTCTGACTCCCCAAATCACTGATCTGAAATGAGCTCTGAGACCCCTGGGCCCTGCAGCCAGACCCTGGGAACCAGCTCTGCCTGCTAGTAGTCCAGCACTAACCCCAGGATCTGACTTCACCTGTCAGTAGGTGGGCAACAGCCCCAGAGTCTTGGGGACCCCGTGTCTGCCCACCATGAGCCAGCACCACCTCCAAGGCCTCCCAGGGATGCACAATCAACCAACTGGTAACCTGGCCTGACTAAACAGTACTAGCAGCATCTGCACAGGGCAGAGCATGTCAACCAACCAAACCTCCTCGCTGCCTGCATGATCAGCCCACCACAAAGAAGGACCCTTGCAGCCCTCTTGGGGGGAACCCCTAGAGCATTTAGCTTCAGTGATGGAAGGGTAGTACACGACTGGGATGCATAGGATGTCTCCTACAGAGGGCCACTTGTCCAAGGTTAGAAATATAACTAATCTGCAATAGGCATAAAAATACAAACAGCAACTGAGGCAAAATGAGGTGGCAGAAGATTGTGTTCTAGATCAAGGAATAAAATTCCAGAAGAACTAAATGAAGTGGAGAAAGATGATCTATCTGAGAGAGTTCAGAGTAATGATCTTAAAGATAATCAAAGAGCTTGGGAGTAGAATAGATGCACAGAGTGAGAAGTTAGAAGTTTTAAATAAACAGAAAATATAAAAAACAACCCAGCAGATGAAGTATACAATAACTAGAATGACAAATACACTAGAAGGAATTAATAATAGACATTTAAAGAATAGTTAACACCTATTCTTCTGAAACTATTCCAAAAAGTTACAGAGGAAGAAACAATTCCAAACATTCTGTAAGGCCACCATCACCCTGATACCAAAACCAGACAAAGATATCACAAAAAAAGAAAAATACAGGCTGATATCACTGGTGGACATAGATGCAAAAAAATTATCAACAAAATATTGGCAAACCAACTCAATACACTAAAAGGATCATACACCATGACCAAGTGGGATTTATCCCAGGGATGGAAGGATTTTTCAGTATCCACAAATCAGTGTGACATATTACATTAACAAAGGATAAAAAGCATATGATTATCTCAGCAGGCATAGAAAACACTTTTGATAGAAATTCAACAAAGAAAAAAATTATAAAAAGAAATAAAAAAATTCAACATCCATTTATGATTTTAAAAGTCTTCAGAAAATGGGCATAGATGGATCCTACCTCAACATAATAAAAGCAATATATGACAAACCCATGGCTAACACCATATTCAATGGTGAAAAGCTAACAGCATTCCCTCTAAGATCAGGAACAAGCAAGGATGCCTACTCTTGCCACTTTTATTCAACATAGTTTTGGAAGTCCTAGAGATCAGAGAAGAAAAACAAAAGGAATCCCAATTGGAAAGGAAAAAGTAAAACTCACTGTTTGCACATAACATGACATTATACATAGAAAAATCCTAAAAATGACATTAGAAAAGAACTAGAGCGCATCAATGACTTTGATAAAATTGCAGGATTCAAAATTAACATACAGAAATCTGTTTTATTTCTGTACACTAACAATGAACTATCAGAAAGAGACATTAAGGAAACAGTCCCATTTACCATCACATCAAAAAGGAATAAAACACCTAGGAATAAACTTACCCATGGAGGAAAAAAACCTGTACTCTGAAAAGTACAAGACACTGATCAAAGAAATTGATGAGGACACAAATAGATGAAAAGATACACCATGTTCTTGGCTTGGAGGAATCAATACTGTGAAAATGACCACAGCACCCAAGGCAATCTACCGATTTAATATGATTCCTATCAAATTACCAATGGCATTTTTCACAGAACTAGAAGAAAAAAGTTTTAAATTTGTATGGAAACACAAAAGACCAAAACTAGTTAAAACAAGCTTGGGAGGAAAACACAGGCACTCTCCGACACAAACCACAGCAGCATCCTCCACGACCCACCTCCCAGAGTCACGGAAACAAAAGCAAAAACAAGCAAATGGGACCTAATGAAACTTGAAAGCTTTTGCACAACAAAGGAAACTATAAGCAAGGTGAAAAGACAGCCTTCAGAATGGGAGAAAATAATAGCAAATGAAACAACAGACATAGAATTAATCTCAAAAATATACAAGCAGCTCATGCAGCTCAATTCCAGAAAAATAAATGACCCAATCAAAAAATGGGCCAAAGAACTAAACAGACATTTCTCCAAAGAAGACATAGAGATGGCTAACAAACACATGAAAAGATGTTCAACATCACTCATTATCAGAGAAATGCAAATCAAAACCATAATGAGGTGCCATTTCACACCAGTCAGGATGGCTGCTATCCAAAAGTCTACAAGTAATAAATGCTGGAGAGGGTGTGGAAAAAAGGAACCCTCTTACACTGTTGGTGGGAAAGCAAACTAGTACAGCTGCTATGGAGAATAGTGTGGAGATTTCTTAAAAAACTGGAAATAGTACTGCCATACTACCCAGCAATCCCACTTCTGGGCATACACACCGAGGAAACCAGAATTAAAAGAGATACATGCACCCCAATGTTCATCGCAGCACTGTTTATAATAGCCAGGACATGGAAGCAACCTAGATGCCCATCAGCAGACGAATGGATAAGAAAGCCGTGGTACATATACACCATGGAATATTACTCAGCCATTAAAAAGAATTCATTTGAATCAGTTCTAATGAGATGGATGAAACTGGAGCCTATTATACAGAGTGAAGTAAGTCAGAAAGAAAAACACCAATCCAGTATACTAACGCATATATGTGGAATTTAGAAAGATGGTAACGATGACCCTTATATTCGAGACAGCAAAAGACACATAGATGTAAAGAACAGTCTTTTGGACTCTGTGGAAGAAGGCGAGGGTGGGATGATTTGAGAGGGTAGCATTGAAACGTGTATCTTATCACATGTGAAGCAGATCACCAGTCCAGGTTGG